CCCCAACAACATCATAGCTCCTGACCAAACTGCGGCCTCCTCTTCAAACCCACAGTTTTACTCGAAGCCTTCGAGCAACTTGGGCACCTCGTTCTCCACAAGGAGAAAGAGGTCAAGGCAACTAAAGAAGTTTTTCAAGAGCAGATGCAGCAAGGGAAGAAGAGCACCGTGCAAACAACCAGATGGGGGAACTTTCAAATTGGATCTTGATGCAATCATGGGGAAATTTAGTAAAAGTCGACTCCTTCCTATGAAGAACTCAAGACCTGGAAGAAGTTGTTCAACGCCCCTTGCTGACATGCTCAGGCTCTCGCCCTCGTTTGGTCATTGGAGGTCAATCTGAACTACTCTCAATGGCCTCACGAAAAAGCCATGGCTTGAAATTTCACCACGAGAGACATGTTTATCGCAAAGGATTACATTGACCTCTACATCCCTACGGAAACTTGGTAGTTGCTTCACAAGGGAACGCATCAGGGAATGGAAAACACTCGCTCTCTAATCATGGCGGAATACAAGTATTGTCTCAACATCGCTCGAAGAGATGCAACAACGTAATTCAGGGCAGTTGTTCGAATTATCATTTACCTTGACGCCCGAACTACTATAAAGTCCATGCCATTTGTGTTGTGGGGCTTGTCATATATCCTCTGCTGTTACCACAGGTCTAAGCGTCAGGAGTCGGACTCCTCTTCATACTGCAAGAAGGAGGACTACAGAAAGCATGACGATCACAAGTCGTCCTCTTCCAAGCGTAGTTACGACGATGAGGATCGTGGTTATGAGTACTCTGGAGCTTCTAAGAAGGCGTACTCAGATGCAGATTTGAAGCGCTTTGACACCACTCATGCCTCCACTAGCAAACATGCTCGTACAACCGAAATAACCTTTTGAACAGATTTTTGGTAACCTCTCCTCCCTCCCTACCTCCACTCCGTGATGATCTACAACTCGTTCTTTTCTCCATGAAAAAACCCTCTTCGTGATTACAAAACACACAGCTTTTCTTTGCTGCCTCCCCTTCTTCCTCTAATTTGTGTTCTCTCCTTTTTACCTCCAGTCCTAGATTATCGCACTGGATCCGACATGGTGTTCGTTTGAGTTTCATTGAGACAAAGCATGTTCAAGTCTTCAAAATTATCAAAGTCGGATGCATGAGAAAGGGCGTCCTTTGCTCCTCTCAAGAGTCTCAACTAAGAAAAGGGCTACTCGATGAAAAACTTCCTTCCGTCGTCATCCCTAATCATAGTCTCCTTCCTCATCACTCCACTTTCATTTATTTTATTATCATGCAACTTTTGACCGGCGTCGTCGAAGTTGCTCCCTCACTGATTGTCAGCAATCCCCTTTTTGCCACTTAAAACTCGTAAAAAACCGGCTTATGTGAGTTTTGTCAATCTTTTCGTTTTTTCCCCCAAATTCCAGTAAAGAGTCCATAAACGACCTTATTGGCAATTTTTGCTCCTTATTCGGGACCTCTTCTCAGGATTTTGATGTCTGCTTCCACATTAAGAATGATTATTAGTATTTATTACCACATTCTTATCCATTTCAATCATGACCCTTATCTCGCCTTCACTTTGTAGAGTGATACTGCTTTGGAATCTTATTTGTATGTTGGATCTCAACTACTGCCATGAAAGAGATCATGGTCGAGTTTCGCACAAGGCACATCTTCGTCACATCGTATATTGACGGTTCTGCTTTAGTATTATTTTCAGCCATCACTGTCAATCCGCTTTCTCCGTTTTCTCATTGATACTCATGAGAAGCGTATTAGCTTACTACTAAGGTACCTCAGGATAAAGTATCTATTTTTTCTCTTATCTTTTCTACCAAGGACTCCTCTCCTTCCAGTCATACGTTTACCAAACTCGCCATAGCCTTTCTTCTAGCCCCAATTTTTCTTTCCTCCCTCTACAATGTTGTGTTTCCTTCTTTTTGGGACTCTCCTCTTATCTTATCAATGATCTCCGCTGGTGCCCTATTCATCTCCCTGCAAGACTTTGGACGATTCACAATGTCACCCTAACTATTTTAAAACATACATCGGCTACCCAAGTAGGCGCAATTATTGCCCCCCATGATGTTTCTTCGTTCGCCATGAACAAATGCATTCCATCTCACCTCATTCACTACTTATCTACGCACATGAAACTTTTCACAATGATTATCCTCGTTATCTTTCTTTTCGTTACTTTCAACCAACCTCATCTCCTTCGCTCCTCTTTTATTCGCCTTATCTCGGACAACCAATTTGTCATTGCTCTTCTTGCATGAATAAGATCCTCGAATGCCTCATTCCATCCCTGGCCACCTTCATCTCCAATGATGCTTTACTCAATCCCCTTTGGATTCCGCACTCCCTCAACACCGATGAAGACTCCTTGTGTAACCCCGCGTTCATTGAATGCAGGTTCCACGTTCAAGATTTGAACGCGTTGAACGCGTGTTCAATGAACGAGGTTAAATGCGGTGAATGCGTTTGCGGCGCCCGGGGGGGGGGGGGGGGGGGGGTAAGAAAGGGGGGATAAGGGGGGGCGGGGAAGGGTTGAAGCACCCCCCACAACTCTAAAAGAAAAGGGGGAAAAAAAAAAAACATTTACGAAAAAAAAAAAAGGAAAAACACTTACCTTTGTGGTGGTGAATACCCCACCATGCCCTTCCCATTCGCCATGCATTGTGTGTCACGAGCACACACACACACACACACACACACACACACACACACACACTCACTCACTCATACACTCACACACAAACAAACAACATCTATTCAATCTTTGAATCGACTCAATCGGTTAATTGACTTAATCGATTATGTGGATTAAATCGATCCGATTCAATCGAAAATTATAAAATCGACTTTGGTAGTGAAGCCTGTGAAGGTGAATTGATAGTTCCCTCTACATAGTACTACACATATCTGGCCTTCAGATACATCTCGCTATACAATTACGTAGAGAGCACATCGCCTTCGGGCAGACACAAACACGGCTGGTGAGCATATATACACGCAGCCTACGGGCTCATACAAACATACATAGCCAGGGCCCAGGGGCACACATATATACACACAGCTATGATACCGGGCTGGGGGGGGGTCTATCAGGTATATGACAGGTCTACTCACACATGGCTTAGCTCTAGGGTAGGGTAGGGATATAAGTCGCTCCGGGTACGATGTGTCCATGGGCGCTTGCTTGCCTTGCTTAGGCTCTCTCTAGGGTAGGCTAGTGACCCAGTAGTCTGAGTTCTGCCTAGCCTTGGGTAAGTTAGGGGAAGGATGGTAGGATGTGTCTGTGGGCGCTGGTTTGCCTTGCTTAGGTGCTCGGAACGTGCTCCTGCTGGGCAGATTCTCTGAATTGGTCCTGTAGAAGATTGCATGAGCCTGGTGTCTGAAGACTCCGAAGTTCCCGTACGGCAACGTTCGTCCGCTTCTGCTTCCACTAGGGCTGGGGGGTTGGCCTAGCCTTGGTGCTTTTCACTGCTGTCTGGTGCAAGTTGCCCTCTCTACTGGTAGGGTGATGGTCCTGAGTGCTGGTCACACAGAGGTAGGATAGTAGGGACAGGGGGTGCGCTGGGAGTATTAAGGTGGGGATGGGTAGAGTAGGTGGCCTGCTGTCAGGACAACCATTGGCTGCCGCTGCCAGCAATCACCGCGGGTCTGGTCCTTGGCCTCTACAACACCCTGGGCTGGCTGCCTCTACCAGCAATCACCGCGGGTCTGGTCCTGGGCCTCTACAACACCCTGGGCTTAAAAAAAAATAGAAAAAATAGAAAAAAATCACAGTTGCGCTCTGACAGCTTTATAGCCTGGGTTACATATTGGGCTTTCCAAAATCCAAGAGCCGCAAAACCACCTGCGAACATATTCGGCTGGTCGGCAGTAGCAGTAGGGGGCCAAGGTCCCACTTGCAGAGATTAAGAGATTCTGGCCGTTGATCTTGGCTATCTAGGGTCAATATCGCTTAATTCGTGTAAGTGGGACCTAGCCCCGGGCTGGCAGCCCGCGTCCTCGCGTTATGTCAGTCACCGGGCGTGGAAAGACAGCTTATCTCTCGTCTTGGGAAGAATTGTTTTCTAAAACAAAACAGGCCGGGGGGAGGGATGGGTATTGAGCAGAGTCTGCCGATGTTCGTAGGGGAGGGGACCACCACCTGAGGGGAGGCACAGGGATTGGTCCTGTTGGCATGGTCCCTGATGCTACCGGCTGTCCCCTAGCCGGTATCGCCCTGCAGGTCGGGAGCAGCCCCCGCATGTTCCCTCGTGAACACAGTTCTGGCTGCTACGGGGTTTCCCGTATGCCTACAATCAGGAGTACTGGTAGGTAGGTAGTGTGAGGTGAAATTGAGTGAGGAAAAAAAAAAAAAAAAAAAAAA